ATTTATCTACATAGAATTTTTTTTGCTAATATTAAAACTACAAATTTTAACACTGAAACTTGTATTAGTTCCGTTTTGTGAAAGTGTTGAACGTTAACAATAAAAGCAGGGGCAAAAACTCAATTAAAATACGCATTTTTTCTTACCTTTTTTCAGAACCCTCCGTCCTTCTCTTCTGATTTTTTTTATTTTTTTTTGCAGTCTGAATAGACGATAAAAAAATATCCACCAATGCAAGAGTTCAGGAAGGCAAACCGATCGCGGAACCTCACCAAATAAATGTCGTCTAAAACTCTCCTCAAAGCTGCAGATATGTAGCAATGTTGATATGGCGCACGTGTCTGGCCTTTAGCTGGACTTCTTGTAGTCTATTCAGAGTGTGTTCCCGGGGTTTAAAACCAAATGCATTAAACTCATCTGCTTTGGCTTTCTCGTTCGTGTCTGTCACTAGTTTAAGGTGATTGCTAATGTAGACGGATGGAGATTGATCACCTTCTCCTAACCCTGCCTCTCTAAGAGCGTAGGACACCTGCAGATCCGCCCACTCCAGCCAATCGCTGCGCATTCTCTGCTTGATTGACAACTGTACCAGCCAGTCTATGGGTAGAACATCCGTGAAGCCCCACCCCGCGCTGACTAACGACATCAAGAACATACACCAAATAAATCTTTAGAATTTCGAGAAGACCTAAACTATAAAGAAAAGTGTAGACAATACAGATTTAACATTTCCTAAAATTGAAGAAGGAAAATATTTTACAATCTGGGCTTTACATACAAAAGGCGTTTTAAAATTAAGGTAGGCTATAGAGTATGGCTTTAAAATATTTTAACCATTTAAATGATTAATATTTTACTGAAAGACTTTAGAATTGCGATGTAGACCGAGGCATTTAATTAGGAAGTCCTGTCAAATCTAAACAAAATAGGCATATTCTCTAAACGCTTAATTACAATTATGACCGTTTTGCGTCTTGAAATGTAGCTATTTTATTTAGAGGTATAGCCTAACTCTAGAAAAAAAACGGACACATTATCGCATATAAATAGTAGGCTATTAATAATTCATCTAAAGGCAAATTTTATCAACATAGATTAAACAGTGTAATATAATTAAAGCCATCCAAAATCTAAGCAGTAAAGGACATCAAGGCCTTTCCTCAAATGTCTGGCATCACGCAAAAAACAACAACAACAAAAAAACACAAATTCAGGTACCGTTTGATACAGAATATAAGACTCCCTTAAGCGATCGATTAATGTAGTCCATCGATTTGAAGTGGTGTAAAAATGCAGCTAAAAGTTTAATTTATCCACTTTATCTATTTTCATTTTTATTGTTACCCCGCCTCATGAATATTAATGAGTGGCTAATCCCCACTTCGAATTACATTTCAGAATAGTGTGCGTAAAGTTTAATAGGCACACGGAGAGGAAACGTGAAAGGGAGTGAAGAAAAACTCGGCCCTTCCAGAAAAGAAACGAAATCGGCACACAGAGAGAGTCTGAGCCTCAGAGAATCAAAGAAAGCACCTTTCAAGCCTCACTTTCCCAAAGAAATGCCAATAAAATACGGTAACAGAATATCACGGAGGGCGCGGTGTTTCCTTAACTGTTTCTGAAAGACTCAGAAGATCTTAATAAGGCTTCGCTCGGTCCTTTTGTTGATCTCACAAAATCAACTCATTCTAATTGAGGCCTGAGCTGAAAGCGACCTAATGTTCAAAGCAAGTGACCGCCGGAGGAACGAAATTACATTTTTACTATATGGGGCATCCAATCAAAAACCGGCGGCTTTACACGTTCTTCTATAGATCAACAAAGTCATCGACAAAAGTACTCTTGGGAGTAACAGAGATGCTGCTGTAAGCCGTCAATAGACGCGGAAAAACTAAATGGAAAGTTATTGGATGCTGCTTAGAAGTACGGTGACAGGGAATGCGCATATTAAATGTTTATACAGCCTGTTCGAAGCACAAGTGTTGGCCCCAGGCCCCCCAAAAAGGCAGATTCCACCTGCCCTTAAACTATTTCCACGGATAATAACAACAATAAAATGTGACCCTCAAACACGCACACGATAGAAATATACAACTCCTGCATTTTGTCCGTTTGCTAGTTTATTCTCTCGGCCCTGATGTTGCTAAGACCCCGTGATAAACCCAGAACAAGTATCAAGTTATCAGGTTGCAAGAAGCTTTTGTAATAAGAGTATTTTGTCTAATCCCAAATTGCAGTCGAATTTTCTAAATGCTGAGCTAGTAAATCTCGGGATTAGAGGAGGCGAGAAGAGGAGGGGGAAAAGTTTGGTTTCTTTAGCCGGCAGGATGGGAGAGGGTCGGCGATGTTGTCGGTCCTTTCATTTTTATTGTTACCCCGCCTCATGAATATTAATGAGTGGCTAATCCCCACTTCGAATTACATTTCAGAATAGTGTGCGTAAAGTTTAATAGGCACACGGAGAGGAAACGTGAAAGGGAGTGAAGAAAAACTCGGCCCTTCCAGAAAAGAAACGAAATCGGCACACAGAGAGAGTCTGAGCCTCAGAGAATCAAAGAAAGCACCTTTCAAGCCTCACTTTCCCAAAGAAATGCCAATAAAATACGGTAACAGAATATCACGGAGGGCGCGGTGTTTCCTTAACTGTTTCTGAAAGACTCAGAAGATCTTAATAAGGCTTCGCTCGGTCCTTTTGTTGATCTCACAAAATCAACTCATTCTAATTGAGGCCTGAGCTGAAAGCGACCTAATGTTCAAAGCAAGTGACCGCCGGAGGAACGAAATTACATTTTTACTATATGGGGCATCCAATCAAAAACCGGCGGCTTTACACGTTCTTCTATAGATCAACAAAGTCATCGACAAAAGTACTCTTGGGAGTAACAGAGATGCTGCTGTAAGCCGTCAATAGACGCGGAAAAACTAAATGGAAAGTTATTGGATGCTGCTTAGAAGTACGGTGACAGGGAATGCGCATATTAAATGTTTATACAGCCTGTTCGAAGCACAAGTGTTGGCCCCAGGCCCCCCAAAAAGGCAGATTCCACCTGCCCTTAAACTATTTCCACGGATAATAACAACAATAAAATGTGACCCTCAAACACGCACACGATAGAAATATACAACTCCTGCATTTTGTCCGTTTGCTAGTTTATTCTCTCGGCCCTGATGTTGCTAAGACCCCGTGATAAACCCAGAACAAGTATCAAGTTATCAGGTTGCAAGAAGCTTTTGTAATAAGAGTATTTTGTCTAATCCCAAATTGCAGTCGAATTTTCTAAATGCTGAGCTAGTAAATCTCGGGATTAGAGGAGGCGAGAAGAGGAGGGGGAAAAGTTTGGTTTCTTTAGCCGGCAGGATGGGAGAGGGTCGGCGATGTTGTCGGTCCTTATTAAAACGACGATGCATAAAATACGATATTGAAGCTCGTACAGAAGGCTCGGTACCGATTCCCCCGGTGTATTTTAGGACGAGGAAAGGATTTTCGGAGGTCGAGGGGCTTGTGAAGTCCAACAGCTCAACACCTGAAGTCAGGCCGTGGACTTCAAAGCAGCTGGATCCACAGAACGCGCTGTGGGACTCGCGCCGAGACGCTCTACTGGAGAGCTCTTTTTTGCCTCTATAAGAATATCTATTTTTAAAAGCTTTTTCAAATTCGTTTTTTTCACTAAACGTACACTGTTGGTTTGAGCCTGAAAACAATAGTCGGCAAAACGGACAACAATCAGGTAAGGGAATTAATTGCGCATTTTGACAATGCCACTGCATGCGTGCACTAGAACGAGCCAGAGGACGCGTTTAATGTTGTTTCAATCTTTATATTTGTGTGTGTGTGAAATGCAGAGAAAATGTCAGAGGTATCTAAACTTTCTGATAGTTGCGTAGCTGAAACAGAACATTAAATGAGTTCTAATATAATATAAGAAAGCACAAATTCATGACATATTTTCATCATGAAATAGAATTAATATATTTATTCATTTTGACAAAAAATAAAATAAAAGTTTAAGCACTTTGAACAGATACTCCTAAAAAGTTTCTTTAAACGTAGCCTATTCCAAAAGTAAAATATTAATATTCCATCCCACGTTTTACTGGGACAAATCAGATGTATAGAAACACATCTTGTATTAAATTAGGCATCTGAATGGACTGCAAAACAGTTCAAAGCGGACATTTAGATATGAACACCACGCTACCGTCTCATCGGGATTACACGGACTTCGCCACAGGTCTAATGCATAAAATTATGGCATGCGTTTGAAGCGACTCGCAGGCTCAAACTCTCCGATTAGTAAAGGCAACAAACAAACGTCCTTTCCGCCGCTGTGTAATGGTTTGTGAGCGCCAATAAGTGTCTCCTATTCAGAAGATTACAGTCATCTGTGATAACTGCAAAATAAAATAAAAAATTAAAAAACGCCCGGGGGGAAACGGAGGTACACTCGGACCCAACCATCAGCAAATTAATGTGAAAGTATTAGAAGGACTAAGGGAGGACGTCAGCTGTCAAAACTTATTTTGCTCGTTAAATGGAGGATGCGAGGCTGCGGTGATGGCTGTTTGGCTGAGAATGAAGTGTCTGAGGAAAAACAGATGCTCTGGGCAGAGTGATTCTGCCTTAATCTCCCTCTGAGGAACGACCTCAAACAAAACAAAACGCATACATTCATGTAGAAATAACCATAAAACGCAAGGGAATTTTCGCAGTCCCTCTTGAGTGCCTGTAAATTGTTTTATTAATTGAAAAAAATAAAGTCTGTAGTGTTTCGTCATAGTGCGACTCCATAAGGTTTTATTTAAAGAAACGATTGTCTGAAACGTCAGCCCAGTCAGAACTTAAGAAAAACATCATTAATTCAAGTGATTATTAAATCAGTAGGCCAAAAATAATAAAGACAGGCAAATCTATGTAATAATGACAGGAAAAAAATTGCAATTCTTCGGACAATATAAATAAAAAAGAACAGAACATAAACGACGTAATGAAATGTGTTTAAAACAATTAAATTCTAGGTTCATTCAGTATCAGCTTAAAAAAATGGCACACAACATTTGCTGCAGGGGCACAAGGCCATATCCATTAGTAACCAAAACCACACCAAGTGTAATTCGAGTATGAAATCATTTGGATTTTATTGAACAGTGATATTTATAGTACAGGGGAATAAATAAACCGGTGGTGCTCATACAATAAAGACGTGAAACTGAAATATGTGGACAAGAAAAGCCTCCCTTCTAAACTATACAATAAATATTGAAGTCCTTGAGCAAATGTACAGGATTGTGAAGATGGTTACTTTAAAAACGTCTCAAACTTTAATAAAAGCAAACAGTAATAAATTACACTGATCGTGACTGCTTCTGAAAATAAATGTTTTTTTCAAGCTTTTTTAAGCCTCCAACAGTAAAATGAAATTTACAACGTGACCGTTTATTTTTTATATGCACTCGCAGTATTTCACTCCTCTCATTAAAGCAAGCTCTAAAATGTTTGGTAAACATATTAAACATAAAAAAAACACTAAATATATTTTTAAACGCAACAAGTCCCCCTTCTCAAATATTATACACTTAGAAAGTTAAGTAATTAAAACATTTCAGCTCTTGTTAGAGAAGAACATGTTGATAGATTTTCTTAAAACTGAAATGTGATATGATTTTGAAACCCAATCCTATTCACAAATAAAAAAATGTCCCAGGTTAAATGCTGTACCGAAACTGAGTAATAATTTCCTGTAAGAAAGAGAAACACATTCGGAAGGCTTTGAATGCCTTAGTGTTCAGATTAATCTGTATTATAATGGATTTAACCATTTAGTCAAAGTTTTCGAAATTGTACAGCTTTGCATCTCCTCAAATATTAGTTCCTTAAGTACCTTGTTTGTGAAATCCAACAAACCAAACCTAATAATAATAATAATAACATTTTTGTATTTGTGTATGTGAAATAATAAATCTCAGGTATTAATAAAACAGGATGCATCTCAGAGCATTCAGCAGTTCTTAAGCCCTTAGTGATAACAAAAAGATCTACATATGAAGATTTAAAACAACAATAATAAGGTGTATGCTGTGGTCTCTATGACACAAATACATTTCAAGATTTTGTAGTGTATATGTCATCTTGCTCCTTTTTTTGACCGTCACTGAAGAACGCACTTCTCCTCTTTCTTTGCCATCTTGCCTTTGTTCTGTTCCAGGGTTCTCTCCAGGTGCTCGTCTTCCTCCTCAGCCCCGCCGACACACACACACACACACACACACACACACACACACACACACACACACAGGACACACAGGATCAAAGGTCACGGACAGGGACACAGGAGAATGCCACCTGCACTTCCTCCACCTATGACCTGTACTTCAGAGTCATTTTGGCTCTTGAAATATTCACAAGGCCTCTCTGCCTGACTCCATCCCCCCCACAAAACACCTAAACACACTTGGTGGCAAAGAGAACACGGGTGACTGCAAACTTTGGCCTTTAAAACCCTCTCTGAACCACGCTATAGGGCCTGGAGGACTAATCCTGGCTCCGACAATCCCACAATGCCTTGCGGCTGGAGGACTTACTCTTTCTCCTGGGCGTCTAGGTCTCGGACCAGCGCATCACGTTTGTCGACCAGTATGACCAGTTCATCCAGCAGCAGCTGCTCTCGGTGCTTTTGCGCCTCTGTCTTCTGCCAGTCTGGAACGTGGAAAGGAAACATGGAAGAAAGTTAGAGAAAAGCTCAGACTGATCATTAATCACCTTAGAGCACCTTCCAACATAATCCAGGAAACAAGACATCCAAAAACGACAGTTCTTTCATCATTTACTCACCCTCATGTCATTCCAAATTATCAATATACGAAATTTGAAAAATATCTGTTTTTTTTTTGTGTCCATACAATGAAACCCATTGGGCTCCAAAGTTGTTTTAGACACCAGTGACTTTCAAAATTTTGTGTTCCACAGAAGAAACAAAGTTATACGGGTTTGGAAATGATATGAGCGTGTGGAAATGATGACAGAATGTCATTTTTGGTTGAATTATCCCTTTAAAAGACATAAATGTCATCATATACTGGCTTTTAGTGAGAAAGACATCACTGTCCCGTGATAAATTATTCAGAAAATGTAGCCGTACTGTTGTGGAGTTCTTGTGAAGTTGTACCAGGTATGGAGAGCAGCCACACAGTGGAATTCAGACAGAAAAGATCTGATGACGTGAGTGAATGCAAGGACAGTATATTGAATACACAACTGCTTTCAGACGCCTCAAAACGACTCCCAAAGAGACGCATTGACGCCATTTCTACGACCAAATTGCAAAAAATCTGTCCATAAATACAATAGAATTCAGATTTTTACTACTTTAACACAGAGTTCCGTAATCTGGAAAAAAGCACTTAAAGGTTTTATTCCATATGTGGTTTTTGAAAACAAATGACATAAACTGAATGTTTACTAGAGCGAAGGTCTCTGTGAGGTGACCCGCTCCTGTCCCACTGCCAACAATGGGTCTGAAATATCAGCCAGGCAGATGAGATCAGGCCTTACTGATACCAGTGCAGATTAGGGCCCTGCTCACGGCCAAGGGGAAGTTATCTTAGCGGGCCTATTCTTCAGGCCGCTGTAAGAACAGAATGTACTAGTGTCTTTACACTGCTTTATTAGCGCTCTCTCATGCACACAGACTCCCAAAAACATGCACACAAAAATCAAATTCTCTTGTTATAGAGAGACCGAAAAAAGAGACAAATGCACATTCAACCTTCTGAAAAGTCTATCCTTAAAATAAGTGTACTTCATTAAAAAAATAAATATTTGGTTGAGTGAAATTGCAGTGTGGTGCTGAGAGCACCGTTGGTCCCAAAAGGCCTGCTCCTTGCTCTCGTTTAACCTCTGCGCCTTTGAAGTGAAGCGCAGTGGCAAAATGAACACAGTTCCAATATTTGAAAGTTATTTGGCCTCCAGCAGCTAAATGAAAGTCTTTGGTGTTCTGACATTAGGCTTCAGTGAGGCTAATGCTAAATATTTGAGAGGATTTGTCTCCGCTTTAACGAATTTGAACAAAAGCTGCAGGAAGGAAAATGAAAAAGGGGGATGTTGTTCTTTAAAAAGCAATTTAGTGAAAAACAAACAAATATGGAGTTAAGTTTTCTGTTATGCTAGCAATGCAACACGGGCCGGTCGTTTGCTGTGCGCCCAACAGTGCTGACTGCATTTAACATCCTACAGGCCGGACTGTTTATCCTGCATCGCTCTCCATACGTTCTCTGTCTTTCACGACCCTCCTCTTTAATTCGCTCTGTCATTTCTGCTACCCCTCCGTCAAAAACGACAATGCCTACTTCACAAAGACCTGCCTGGAGGGAAGGCTACAACCAACAAAAACTTCTCCTGCATGTCCCAAAGAGGTAGAGAGAGAGGTAGAGAGAGAGAGTCTCTCTTTTCCTCAAAGAAGTGATGGATGAAGGCTATTTGGAGATGGAGATGGTGGTGTTGGTGGGGGGTTCAATCCTTTTTGGATTACTCCCCTCTTTCTCTCTCTCTCATCGCCCTGGGCAATCACGTTAAAACTCACATGGTTGGTGCTTATTCAGATAACCCTAACAATGCACACCAGTGGTAACCATGTGAGCACTCTCAACCCACAGAAGAATGCGCTGGTTCAAATCCCCATGACCCTCCTCCACAGCAAAATTTATTCAAGAGTGCAACCTGCTCGGCAGCTTCAGGAGGCTCAGAGCTTCTTCTGAGAGTTCTGCTGAAAGATCACTAAACACAAACTTCACACACACGCTCTACTTGCTTTAGCGAACGGACACATGAAGCAAACTTTTGGACCGAATGGAGGGGCTTTTTTGGTTAGAACTTTTTTCGGAGGAAATAAGAGAAAATAAGTAGTGTTGGAGGAATCCAGGGAAAAATGCATGATCTTATTACAGCAGATTTGGGCGAGTGCTGGGCAGGCTGGGAGCTCCGGCGTAAGATGGAGCTGGAGAGAAGCCAGCTGGGAATGAGACAAAGACCAACATGGAAAACCATGACAAGGAGGATGATGGGACAACAGTTCCTGGATTCTTACCACGCTATCCCCAAACCACATCTCCCATCTGCTATATCAGATACAAATAAAGTGACTATCAAAAACAAACCAAATACACAATGTCTTTGTCTAAATGTTTGAATCACTAATCTGCATCTTGTGTTTTTGTGCATGCATATGAGTGATGTAACTAATTTAGAGGTAGAGAGAGAGAGAGAGAGAGAGAGAGAGAGAGAAAAAGCCCCTCGACTCTTTACCTCCTCCTCCTGTCCCCCTTCAGCATTCTCAGCCAAAAAGCCACAGATCCTCCCCTGCACCTCCATAAGAGGCCGCATGCAGCTGTCAATCAAGCGGGAGCAGCACCGCCCCCCTCATTAAGAAGGTAAACAATGAATATGGACGCAGAGGGACACGGCAGAGTAAACGAGCGATCGCGACTCACCAAAAAACACTAACGGAAGCTGCTGCCTCCTTCTCCTTTTTCCTCTTTTGAAGAAGAGATGGATGAACACTATTTAAAGTAGTGTTGGAGGAATCCAGGGAAAAATGCATGATCTTATTACAGCAGATTTGGGCGAGTCTTGGGCAGGCTGGGAGCTCCGGCGTAAGATGGAGCTGGAGAGAAGCCAGCTGGGAATGAGACAAAGACCAACATGGAAAACCATGACAAGGAGGATGACGGGACAACAGTCCCAGGATTCTTACCACGCTATTCCCAAACCACATCTCCCATCTGCTTTATCACATAAAAATAAAGTGACAAAACCAAATACACAATGTCTTTGAATAAACATTTGAATCAATAATCTGCAGCTTGTTTTTGTGCATGCATATGAGAGATGTAACTAATTTGGGTTTTGAGAAATGGGGAAAAAAAAAAAAACTACGCAAGGTTAAAATGCTGAGGATAAACAACCTGTAAATCATTTCAGTAAAATTTTACAGGACATTTTCCGTGATAGCAACTACTGCCTACCACAGAATATTATCACTTACATTAAAGCCAAATTGTTTTAAAATAATAATAATAATAAAAAAACCCCGAAAAGATTCTGGTGTCATTTTTAAATGCACGAAACACAGCCGACTACACAAATACAAACCTCTATTAGGTGCGGTTATATAAAAGTGGACATTGAGAGTCAAATGCAGAAAGCGACGGCTAAATGGAAATGAACACAGATTTCAGTGAATAGTGTAGAATGAGAAAGTGTCGTCTCGCCTTATCTCCAGTTCCAGTCAACTAGCAATCTTGAAAGAGTTTGCAACATCATCAAAGCCGGCCATTTGATAGGATTCTCACACTGCACCCAATCAATCTGAGGAATACGGCAGCCCAGACATGTAACAAAGCTCAAATAGATTTACAAATGGGGTTGTAGGGGGATAAGCCCTTGCACAGGATTACATATTGATTTTAAACATATAAAAAAGCTTATCATATAAAACCGTAACAACAAAACTGGGGGACCTATGCAGAAATCCCTCGGCAAAAAGGAGCGTCCACTTTCAAATATAACGCCCCAGAGTGCACCGCATTTGAGGAAAGAAAGAAATAGGGAGAGGGGAGGGGGAAAAAAGACGAATTTGAGAGAAAGCGTGTGTGCATGGCAGGCAGATAAAAAGGGCAAAAAGGATCAATTTAGAGGCAGAGAAATAGGAGTCATGGCATATTGTGGAAGGCCTCGCCACTTTTCTTTGCCTCCCCACAGCGGAGCGCAGACTGAAGGGGTTATCGTTTAGCTGACATTAACACTCACCCTGTTTGCTCTACACCTTTAACCGAATCCTTCCCGTCTTTTCAACCTGCCTTTATAATTTCTGAAATATTTCCTTTCCCTTTCTGGTGTCCACAGGCTTCAGATCTAATAGTGTGTAATGCAACAGGCAACAAGTGCGTACCTGAATTTAAGTCAGTGAGTAATGATATCTACATTATTAATATTTATTTAAAAAAAGAGCAAACTGATCCAACTGACAAAGGTTGTTCCATATGGCATGCTAGTCAGGAATGGGCTAATTCAGATTTGAATAACTGGCTCCCTTTCAAAATTTGAAAGTGTGGCATCTCACAGGAAGCAAAAATGGAATCTGAATTTGAATGAAGGGAAGATTAATTTACTGAATTAAAAAAACTGAACACTATCTATCTATCTATCTATCTATCTATCTATCTATCTATCTATCTATCTGTCTGTCTGTCTGTCTGTCAAAGTAAATAAATAAATTAAACAAGGCTTTGCTGAACTAACATTCAAAGTTTGTCTTCATAAGCTTTGCCTTTCTAGTTAAAAATTAGTTTTATGTATTCCAATTCATTTTAATTGTACTTTATATTCAAATGTAAATGCAAAATTCAATTCTGCATCCTGTTTGCCACCTTAATTGCTGTCAACAAAACAAAACATGGAGGACACTTAGAATGGAGACATCAAATAGTTCTTGACATTTTGTTAAAAAAAGACATGTAAAATGTTCTAAATGCTACTCAAACATGACATCTATACAAGGCTTCAATATTACTCATCTCCAGGTCACATTGACTGTAGATTCTCCTCTGCACAGCCGTGGGGTCGAGGAGAGTGAGTATTTTTCTCTATCAGCGAGAGAGTGTGCGCTGATACGAGAGAAAGTGTGTGTGTGTGTGCCCGTCTGAACGCCTCAGCCGCTGCACTTCCAATGTCATCAGCTGACCAAGCAAATCAGCAATTACCTGTCTGCATTGGCTGGCGCGAAAGCCTGTCGGGGCTCCAAATAAGAAACTGATGCACGAACCTCCTCACCAGCAGCTCAGAACTATCTCTGACTCGCTTCAGAAACACCCTGACTCTGAATGCCAAGTGCTGAGCCTCATGGGAGAGAGAGAGAGCGAGAGAGAGAGAGAGGGAGCAAGGCAGATAAAGTGAGAGAGAGAGAAAATAACTGCGAGTGATAATTCAACAGGTAGCAGTGTGTGGACTGATAGGGTTGTTACAAGCAGCAGGGACTGAATTACCACTGCCGTGGACGGACCCTGTCACCCTTGCACATCCAGACCAATATTTGGAACTCACTCCATGTTCACTGATAAGTGGACACAAGGCTGAGGCACTTCAACATCTGGACGTTATTAGCTTAAATTCCAGCTATCGGGCTCAGCATTTAGCGTTCAGTATCATGGCAGCTCTCAGCGTGGAGAAATCTTTCAGAAACAAGACAGAAGCATGTCAAAATATTGAGATGAACCGTGTTGATCTGCCTCGGCGAAGCCCTGGAGGTGAGAAAGTGTGTGGCGAATACAGGGAGCGTCACAATACGGGGATCTATGCTCTCTGCTTGGCTATTCATGTCCACTGTCAACCTCTCCGAACTAATTAGAATTGATTTATGATGGATCAGCTAGCTTATCAGGTGCAGAAAGAAATTACCATGGCTAGCCAAGGGGTGAGAGGGTCATCATCGAATTGCAAAATCAATTTGCATTGATTGTAAAAGGTTCATTTTGCGAGAGAGGACACAGTTAAAGGGATTAAACTTAACCAGACAACTTTGATACCGCACAATAGGCTTTATTTTTTTTACTTTCCTTACCAGTCTGTATAACACGCACTCCAAAAGCTTATAAACGCGAGTGCGTTCTTTGACGCCCCGAGGCACATCACAGAGATTTAATATTGACGTGGAAGTGACATCTGCACTATGGCTGTAATACCTGCGGTTTTGAGAGTAAATCATATATATTGTGTCCAATCCAAAGGTGAATTTGTAAGATCTACATTAATAAAAGGAGCTAAAAGAATTGGCAGCGCTATCAAATCAGGGCTGGGTGGGTGGTGCCACGTCTGAGGTGTCAAAGAGCAGGTTTAATTAAGCAGGAGAGGATCTTTGTCTTTCACAGCGCGCCTCTCAAATTCACCGCCAAATCCCTCTTTCAGTCCCTCTTACCTTCAATCGCCAGCATTGCCCTTAATTCTCGGTTCAG